TCTCTCTCTCTCTCTCTCTCTTCCTTTCCTTGTCATTTAAGCCAGTGCCTTGATTTGATTCGGGTTCCAGAACAAGACCTTTAGATAAAGGTTCTGGAAGATGCAGTTAATTTAGGAGAGACAGCAGCAGGGGAAGGAGGCAACCAGTAAGATTAGGAGACCACCAAGGACCGATCAGGAAACACAGAAACTATGGTAACTGGTGTAAAGAACAGGCGCCAGAGCTATATAAGCCCAGGGATGAGGGAGGTGGGGTGCGTAGACCCCATTGTCATCAGCCACCGATGCAGGCAGCCTGGGGGTATTAATTTGCTGGCACCTCTGGCCTGACACAGCCATGCCTGCAGGTGCAGCGAGGAAGATGGTTGGCAGCTGCAGAAGGAACACTGAACTCTGGCCCTTGCGCTTGCCGGGGAAGCGCTTATTCTACTGAGCCATCTCCCCGGCCCCTAAGGAGATAACCCATCTCTTTATATCCTGTATTAGTTACTTAATTTCTTCAGCTAAGTCTTCTAAGTTAGTCTTTTCCTGCATAAATTCCTAGAAAACTGTATTCTGCCAGTCTGTGTCTTTTGTTTTATTTATTTATTTATTTATTTATTTATTTATTTATTTATTTTGTGTGTGTGTGTGTGGCCAGCTCAGCCCACCAGGGGGCGGGGCTGCCTGGCATGTGGTGCTGGGGGATTGAACCGCGGTCCCTGGGCTTTGCTCAGCTTAGCTTGTTCTAAGTAGGTGCTTTAGGCCACTGAGCCATCTCACCAGCCCCAGCCTGTGTCTTTTGATTGGTGAATCGACACCATTAACACTGGTGGTTGTAACTGATATGTAGTGACTTATCCTTGTCACGTTATTTTCCTGCTGTTGGCTCCCCCCCCCCCGCCTCTGTTTAATTATTTTTCTTGCCTGGTGAATTTCTTCTGTTGGGGTTCGTGGGTGTGCAGTCCTTGTTATCTCTTTCTAGAATGTCACTCAAGACCTTTGGTAGTGCTGGCTTAGCAGTCATGAATTTCCTCAGATGTTCTTTCTCACGGAAGTGTCTTTATGTCTCTATCAGTTTCGAAAGATAGTTTTGCAGGTACGTCTGTCTGAACTGGAGGTTGTTTTCTTTTAGGGCTTGAAACACTTAACTCCAAGCTCTCTTTGACGTGAGGGTTCGTGTTGGGAAGTTGGCTGTGAATCTGGTGAGTTTCCCTGCCCCTGGGGCCCACTGAGACAGGAATTGAGACTGGGCGTGGTGGTGCACATGGTGGTGTACACTTGTAATCCGAGCTCTTGGGAGGCTGTGAACAGGTAGATCACTATGAGTCTGATCTAATAGTGAGACCCTGAACACCCTGTAGACCTTTCCCTAAAATACAAAAAAAAAAAAA